GTATTCTTTTCTTTGACTGAAAATGCATGGTGGCTGCTGTAGCCACTTCTCCGCCAGTATCCTGCTGGCCATCTTCTGCAGTAGCATTCTTCATAAAAGAATAATCATCTTAAGTTAAATCAACATCATCATCATTGTGAAAACCACCAGGTTCAAAAGTGTTCGAAATAGAACTAGGGCTGGCGTGTCCAGCGCGAGCCTATACCGACGTATTTGAAGCGCTCCAATCCGTCCTTCAGTGTGGTGACCAGCGGGCTGATGTACTGCGATGGCGCCCGTCGGACGATCCCCCACTCCTCCCATTGGCGGATCAGCTGATCCAGGGCGGCCTCGTTGGCCATGGGGATGGGGTACTGTCTTTCCAGGAATGGGGTGGTGTCCGGCAGGGCCAGCACCGGTGTGTAACCTCTGATGCAGCCGGGGAGCCCAAGTGCAGTAGCTCGTAATCCATGCTGGATCATACGGTGGGGGTGAATCCAAATCTTCATCGAGTGCGGGTGAAACAGAGGGCGCAACTGCGCATTGCAGAGCACAAGGTCGACAATCATCCAAACATCCGCAGTAGGAGGCGTACTCTTCTAGTGAGCCCAAACAAATGCCGCAGAACTCAAACACTGAATCTTCAGTCATAAAAATAGTCTCACTTTTCACTCCGTGGTGGGTAGGAAAAGGGTACCAAACAATAGGCACACCACCGTCAAAAGGACTGATGCAATGAGTACGAACGTACAACGGCTTGTTCCAATCCAGCCTCCCGCCTTTACCTGGAGTTTGCTTCATTCCAACAGGCCCTTCCCTGTGGGCGTCGCGTGGTGATGCAATTGTCGTGTCGTGCCATGCTGTGTATTTCGCATGTCCAGCGTTGATCCAAGTCTCATCGCTCCATAAATGCACAGTTCCTCTTCTGCTGGGTATGCACAAAGCCGAGGTCATGCAAGAACCTCATGAGGGTAGTGGTGCTCATGTTGGGAAGCGAGTTATCCTCGTCCATCTCAGCCTTGCTCTTTTTCAAAGTGGGCGCCTCGTTCCGCCGGAAAAAAATGAATGAACAAGGCGCCGCACCCCGTTGATGACGTCATGTCCATACACGTCAGTCCTCGTCCCGGACAGGAACTCTTGTCGCGGTCTCTTCTTTCCAGGTGTCACGGGCTGCTTACCGGCGTCGAAGTCGTTCTTGAGCTTCAGGACAGTACAGCGGCCCACTCCGGTCAAGCGCGCGGTCATCTTGCACGCGTCGGTGGGCGACAAGGTGAAGTTGTCGATCAAGACATTCCCCAACACCGTCAGCACAATCTTCTGCACCTTGGTGACGAGAGACAGGCCGCGCTTGCCCTTCGTAATGAAGCGCTGGGGGTCCATCGCGGAGAAGCAGAGCACAACACAAAACAGCACAGCAAACAGCAGTCACACAACACAAAGTCGGTGCACACGATGCGTACACGCCGCGATGCAGCAGCCTCCGCGAGAGCAGTCTCAACAATTAACACGTCGGCGTCGGCCTCGGCCTGCTGCACGTGCACAGCAGCCGCCTCCAGATATTGCCTGAGCAGTCTCTTGAGCAATGACTTATTTTGGGTGTTACCCAAAAACTGCTCGCGCTGTACAGTACACAACATGTCTGCGCTAACATCAATATCTGGAGCGATTGTTGCACCACTCTTTTTGGCCTGACGCCGCTGCTCCTCGCATTTGGTGCTCCACCGCACCACACGTATCCAACGAACACCACCTTGACAAGGCCGTCCGCGCGTAGCTTCCTGCTGTTGATGTGCTTGACGTACGCCGTGCCCACCGCCCCGTAGGTAGGGCCAGGGCGCGGCCACGGGACCACGTGCTGCAGGAACCCTCCGTCGACAACCGTCACCTCGGCCACGGTCCGTCGCACTGCTGCAGCCCACGTCGCGACCACCCCGGGGGCAGCCACAGTTTCAGGAGAGTCCTCTTCGTCGGGAGATGAAGCCGCGGCCGCCCGCACTGCCTCCACGAGGCACGGGACCAGCTTGGCCTTGGCGTTGGTGCGAATCATCCCGTCCTCGAAGAGGTCGGGCGGCGCCACAGTTCATACTGCAAGAACTCCTGGAGCTTTGCAGTGCTCACTCCCAGGCAGCAAATGGTCACGAACAAGCCGTTGCTCTCGACGAAGGGGTCGGCCTTCTTCTTGCTAGGGGCAGCCAGCTGCGATAGGAGGACGACCCGCAAGTTTCGAGTAATCTTCATGGCCATGAAGTTGGTGCCAATACATTTCTCCATTGCCGTGGAACAAACACTCATGGCCTTTTAACAGTTGACTTCTTTGATGCCCCTGACGCCCGTCGATATGCACCGGATGCCCTCGCTGTTGTCGAAGGGGTTGTGTGCCTCAAGCCAGCTGACCAGGCGCTGCCTGTCCGCCTGGTCCCGCGACACGCGAGACTTGCCCAAGTCCACGTGCTGCTCCGAAGTAACACGCTTGAGGCCACAGTACCCCTCCAGAGCGGTGGTCACCTTGTGCATGGCGGGCCTGTTGCCGACCCACTGCGTGACCCCGCTCTCCGTCAGCCCGCGACTGGTCGGCCCACCCTGGCTCTTCAAGGTGCACATGATATCCTGCTCCATTACCATGTCCGTCCACACGCCAGCCACGCCAGCCCAATAATCTGAAGTGCGCCTCAACCATGAAGTACCCCTTCCTGGCCGCCGCGGCCAGGTCGCCGTCGAGGTCCTCCATGGTCTGGACGTACAGGCGTGTGGACCTGGCGTAGAGATGGAGTACATTGGTAGATAAATTTTTATTTACAAAAGCAAAACACAAACAATTTATACCAGGTTTCTATACTGAATCTTGATCTTACTTAAGATAAAATCGTAATAATAGTACCTGATTTCAAATCGTACTTTTTTGAAGTCCACATCACCCAGTTGGTTGAAAACTTCAACGTTAAAATCTGAACACTCTTCTTTAAATTTAACAATTTGAACTTCGTTTTCCTTGTTAAGATAAGCAAAGCCATGACCCTCCTCAAAAAAAATTTCGGCAGCTTCCTTACTTAATTGTTGTATGAGCCTAATAATAACGGGGATCGCCTCTTTCTTTTGATTAGCCAGATACTCAATGTATTTTTTGAAATAAAAGATGCGCTCCCACGACTTGAGAGCCAAGTCAATGCACTGAGTGTCAAGGTCTTTCCTCCTTATCCTAACATTAAACATTTGTTTCTTATCCGATAGATTGACAATGGTGAGCCGGAGCCCACCACAGTCAATGAAGTCACCTAGTTCACCTTTCCTTATACCTTCGGCTATGAAATCTTGAATGTCCTTTTCGCACAGTACCCTCAACTCGTCGCGGCTCATTCGCACCTTCGCGCTGTTCCCGCGGCTGTTCGTGCCCTTCAGCTCGAAGAAGGGTTGCATCTTGTTGAGGTCCACCCCCGCCCACAAATACTTATTCTGGCAGAGCATCACGTAGTCGGTAAGGACCCTGATGATGGGGACCCCCATCCCGTCGGCTGGCACGGCGACGCAGCGGAAGAGCTCCTCCATGGCCTCCTCGTCAACCGTGTTGAGGACGACGATAGAAGAATTGTCGACGACCTCCGCTTTGATGGGGGTTGAAGTCGCCACGGGCACCCCAAAGTCACCGTCCTGCTCCAGCTTGCCCTGCCGCTCTCCCTGCTCACGCTCTCCCTGCTCCAGCAGGCGAACTATGGTGTTCTCAGCGTTCACCGCTGACTGTTGGTCGATAAAGTCCAATAGCCCGGACACATTGGACAACTCTTCAGGTCCCCGGACGAAACGCCCATATCGGCCAGCATGCTGACTGCGGCTTCCCTCCCTTGGTAGGAGGGGCCTGGTGACGACGGCCCCGGCTGGTAGGAAGGAATGGGCAACGAATCCAGCCCATCCGTGACGTCCATGTCGGGCAGCACCATCGCAACCACTCGTATATTCTTCCTTGCATAAGGCTTGCGTGCGGCAGCCTTTCTCTTTCTTTAAAAGGTAGGAATAAGCAATCCAACTTTTTGCCATAGATGGTTTTGAATCAGTTTTATATTCTCTTTCCAATGGTGTAGTCTGTTTTGACCTTGCTGCAAAGATTCATAGAGTTTTACTTATACCCCCTCTCAAAGACATGCAAGCGTAGCAAGTGTCAGAGCCAGCTTGGCCTCAACTAGCGACTCTTTCTTTGGATCCATTGGTAATGAGGGCCGCCTCCTCTTCATATGAGGATGGCGACTAAAACTTTCGGCCGCCAGGATCGCTAGTGGCACTGGTCCCCTAGCGCGCCGCCGGCCGGGCGGAGCGTGTGTAAGCATAAACTAAAATTGCATTCTTGGGTACTTAACTCAAACAAAGTACATCGACCGTTACATCAAAATAAAGGTGAAAGTGTGAGGATTACAACGGTATAGTTCCTTATGTGATTGGAGGCCTTGTACTCGATCAGGGCCGTTTGGCAAAAAGGGCTGTTTTCCGAAATCACAAGAGCTTTTTCAACCCGTATTTTCTCATGCAAGGAGCCGAGCTATCAACCTACTTAAAGCGAGCCGATTTTTCGTCTGACTTTAAACTTTACATTCCTTTTTGTCGCACTTTGATGCGACTTCTGGTTTTCGAGAACGAAGTTCATATCTACGCGCATGTCGGGCCGGGCGCGTGGCCCGGGTGGGCGCGCCCCATAGCGGCCCATAGCGGGCCATAGCGTCCAGCCGCAGACGGCTGCGGCCCGGCCTGACATGCGCGTAGATATGAGCTTCGTTCTCGAAAACCAGAAGTCGTATCAAAGTGCGACAAAAAGGAATGTAAAGTTTAAAGTCAGACGAAAAATCGGCTCGCCTTGCATCCCCCCCCCCCTTAATGCACCCTTGTGCATGCGTTGGTTCATGTCCAAATGCAATTGTTGTCTAGGTGTTCCCAGCCGTCAATGCACGCGTGTGCATTCAATAATGCATAGAGCTAAGCACGTATCACTTTGCGTGTTTCCTGAATGCAATGCAAGTGAAATAAGACCCTCACAGTAGTATGGTTATTTTCAGTGATTTAATCGAAATGATTAATATAAAGTTGTGTCATGGGCGACACAGTCTTGGCTGAGCTGGGCAGACCACAGATGTGCTCCGCCAGAAAGCGCCACGCCCCCGAGACATAGAGAGGGAGCTTTAAATCGAACAGAAACATGAGGCTCATGCAGCAGCACACAGCCTCTGTGACAGAAAACTCTCCTCGAGTCCCTGAAAACCTCTCGCCATCCAAAACAATGGTGTATGAGCTGAGGTTGGAGTCAAGCCACTGAGAGCTCTCGGAATCAACTTTAATTACTGCACCGACTCCTTTAGGTTCCTGTCAGGAAGTAAACAAAGTATGATTTAGATTTAGATTAACATGACGGATGTGTCACTAACTAATGCTTAATCAATTTACCTTCCCAACTAAAATCCACTTGCATAGTTGTTCTTTGCTGGTGAGTGCCGGCAGGGCCGCCAGAACATAGTCCCTTTTTACTGCCAACAAATAGAATAGTATTAGCTTGGTAATGCGAAATTTTAAACAAGGAGAAAATACATTTTGAAAATTATTGGCTTACCCTCTAAATCTTCACTGTTCGGCATTTTCAGGTATGCCTCTGTGACATCTTTGGCTCGAGTTGAAGTTCTCACTGTGCGAATCGCCCGATCACACCTTTCCAAAGTCAAATATTCCTTCACCATTTCTACTACATTTTTATTGAAAAATCTTTCCATGTCATTAAAAATCTGCACCAAAAATATAAAGTATGAATTTTAATTAAGTAATAAAATACATAAAAGGGAGTTTTAGTAGTTTCACAAACTGACTTACATGGAATGGATCTTTCAAAGGTGGGTACACCTTAATTCGAAGATTTTTAGGCCAATTTTGTTCGAGTTCGTTCAAATTCGAACTGGCCTGTTCGCTCATCTCTAAGCTGGCGCACCTGTGCGTCGATGGGTTGCCATCAGCAGCTCTTTCATTGTATCCCCCAAAACATTTCTGCATACATACAGTGCAATATGCGAAGCAACCGCATGGTAAACAGTGCCTTGTAGGCCTACTTTCAAAGCAAATGCAACATGTTCTTTCGTTTTCTTTAGCTGGGGTGTGAGGCTCGAGGGGCTGCAGGAAACCTAACTGAGCGGCTAGCTCTGCTATTTGGATTAGAGCCTCTCTCCTAGCCAGGTTTCTGGACAGAGGCGCTGCTGAGAGGGAGGCACCGGCTGCGCGAGGTGAGGCGCGGGAGTAGCACGAGCCGAGCGACAGCCGAAGATGCCGAGTGCAACCCGAGGTACACCAAATCGCTGGTAGTCTCGTTTGGAGACGGGGACGCCTTAATGGGATGACGCTCCATCTCCCCAACTTCTTTATGTAGTAGTCAGGCTGTGGCTTGGAACTGGT